AGATCGTGCCATTGCACTCCAGCCTGGGTAACAAGAGCGAAACTCCGTCTCAAAAAAAAAAAAAAAAAGTTTACTATAGGAATTTGGGCATATCTTACAGACAACCTAAAGCAGGAATTACTGCCGGAACCCATGAGACTCTGACATGAAGCTGGAGAGCAGCTGATAAGGCAACTTTTCTTTCATGCTGTTTCAGTGAGTCGTTACTTCAATAATGATGTGTTAACAAACTACCCCAAGATTCAATGATTCAAAACAATAAGCATTTAGCTACTAATCACAGATCTGTAGGTTGCCTGCAACTCAGCTAGGTTACGCAACTCAGGCTGCAGATTTAAAAAAAAAAAAAAAAAGTTTTTTGAAGGATGGGGTCTTTCTCTGTCACCTATCCGGAAGTGCAGTGACACAATTATAGCTGACTGCAGCCTCGAACTCCAGGGTTCAAGCAATCCTTCTGCCTCAGCTTCCCAAGTAGCTGGGACTGCAAGTGCAAGCTACCACACGCAGCCCAGGCTGCAGATTGGGTTTAGGTTTGCTCCATGTTTCTCATCCTCCATGTCAATGGCTACCCAGGGCATGTTCTTCTCATGGTAACTGACAGGAGCACAAGCAAACTGCTACAAGTACTCCGCTTACATCAGTACCATTAACATTCTATTGGCGAAAGCAAGTGACTTGGTCAAGCTCAAAGCCAACGAACAGGGAAGTACATTCCATCCACTGAGAAGCCATGGCAAGGGCACAGATGCACAGAGGTGAAGAATCGAGAATAAGATCCAATCTGCTACAGGATGTATGGCCTCTATGCAGACCAGCTTCTTCCTCTGTTCCTCTTACATATGACTCTGGAATGCCAGGCCCATTAGGGCAAGATTTTTGTCTGCTTTGTCCACTATATTTCTATTACACAGATTTTGTCTGTTTTGTTTACTGCTGTCTTCCTAGTGCTTAGAATACCTGGTACATAGTGGATGATAAATATGACTGACTGACCCACCAAATAGTGCCCTCAGCCTTGTAAACTACCTGGTCTAGAGTCCAGTGTCCTTGAGCCAACCTGAGTTGCCCATTTGGGTTAGCTGTCATTCCCTTATTAAACCATATGCTGTAACCATGGGAAGAATGTGGGCAGTCCAGGGGCAATTCTGGAGAAAGGAGCATGGATAAGCAGAGTACCCAGCTGTCTCTTCCACATGATGTACCAACACCTTCATGATCCAGTCCATGCCTCTCCATGGAAAGCAAGTACAGTATAGTGGCTAAAAGAATATTCATTAGGCTAGACAGGTCCAGATCCAAGCCCTGGGTCAGCTACTTACGACCTAATTAACTTTCAGCAAGTTATTTTACCACTCTGAATCTTCATTTCTCTATCTATTAAAACGGTGACAATTACCTTATGGGATTATTGCAAAATTAAATAATATACCTAAAGACCTTTATAGTGTCTGACACATAGTAAAACCCTCAATAAATGGTGACCATCTCTAACAGGAAATTAAGTCTGCTGTCTACCATACCCTTGTGTCCTTGGGTAAATTTTGCATCACACTCATTTTAATTTCAACTTTAGTTGACTGTGTTGGGTTGCACACTTAGCCCAAAGTAGCCAAACCACAGATGACCCACAACTGCTTAATATGAAAAGACTAGTAACTAGGCAAGAATTTCTTTCTCACAAATTTAAAGAAATGCCAAGAGAATAGTGATTAAGCTGGGAGAACACACCCCCAAAAAAGAGAGGCTGGTATGTTCTTGATGTCCACATACAAGCTGAAGTCCTAAGAAAGAAGAAACTGAAATAAGGAAGCCAGTTGAGGCAGGGACTCAGACCCTGATGCCACCTCTTTTGGTACAGATCCTCTCCCCTCCAGCTCTGGTTTCAGTGTGGCATGGCCCTCTCCCACAATTGTGATCCTTGCCAGAGCCCTGAGGCATGAATTAGGATAAAATGAGAATACCCTGCTCCACAATGTTACTACATTATAGAATCTTGCAAATGTCCAGGGAAAACACAGTTGTTAAGAAAGGGCAATCACATGGGTACAATAATCATGGTAGAAGGAGCAACCTGATACTACAAAATCTTTGGCTGTGAAATGTGAACTCATGGAGGTTTTCTGGCTTTTATATTACAGATGTTCCCTGGGTTGCATAAAATTGAATTAAAGCAAATGTGACTTCATGGAAATTATCTAAGATACATTATAAAAGCTTAGCAATGCAAAAGATTTTGCATTCTACACAGAAATACAAAGCAGTCAGGTTGATGAACAAATATTATTAGAGGTAAGTGAAAGGCTAGCAGCATCCACCACAAGGTGCCCTCAGGCTTCCAGGCTCACCTTTTTTTTTTTGGTTGCTGACTGAGGTCTGGACTGCCCCACGAGACTCAACACTACATTGGCCCAGGCTCTTGTAGGTTTGACTAGTCCAATGACATAAAAGGAACAAGCATCTTTCATAGTCAAATTAAAGTTTAAATTGTGTATGATTTATTTGCTTTTATAAACCTATTACAGGAAGGCCAGGTGTGGTATCCTGCAATCCCAGCACTTCAGGAGGCTGAGACAGGATAATTGTTTGAGGCCAGAAATTCAAGACCAGTCTGGGAAACATAGTGAGAACCCATTTCTACAAAATAAATAAATAGGCCAGGTGCGGTGGCTCACGCCTGTAATCCCTGGCTTTTCGGAGGCCAAGGCAGGAGGATCACCTGAGGTTGGGAGTTTGAGACCAGCCTGGCCAACATGGTGAAACCCCGTCTCTGCTAAAAATACAAAAATTAGCCAGGTGTGGTGGTGTGCGCCCGCAACCCCAGCTACTCAGGAAGCTGAGACAGGAGAATCGCTTGAATCTGGGAGGCAGAGGTTGCAGTGAGCCGAGATCACATCACAGGAATCCAGCCTGGGCAACAGAATCAGACTCTGTCTCACAATAAAATAAAATAAAAATGAATAAATAAATGTTAGCTGGGCATGGTGGCATGCACCCAGTCCCAGCTATTTGGGAGGCTGAAGTGGAAGGATCACTTTAGCCCAGGAGTTCAAGGCTGCAGTAACCTATGAGTGTGCCACTCCATCTGGCCTGAACAACAGAGCAAGACCCTGTCTCTAAACAAACAAACAAAACGGTATAATAGAACCCCGTGTAACTGTCACCCAGCTTCAGCAACTCCAACTGATGGCCAGTCTTGTTTCATCTACTCCATTAACCTACTTCTTTCCCTTTGCCCCAGACTATTTTGAAGCAAATCAAAGACATCATACTATTTTACTATAAATAAATAACTTTTAATAATGGTTCTTAGATTGGACTCCAAACCAGCAACAAAAATATTCTACTCACAATGCTGAGGCAGGACTTCTTGGGCACAGGGGTTTGAAACCAGTCTTAGCAACAATATAGTGAGACCCGTATGTCAAAAAGGAAAGAAAAATATGGTAAAACATGGTATGGTTAAGAGGGGCATTTACCTATTTCCCCTTTTTTAAAACTTCTGACAGAAGCATGGAGGAAATTAAAGTTGCAAAGTGGTAAAAGAACACATGCTCAAGTAGAATAAATAATCCAGTCCTAAATTAATATGAACCTATTTTTTTTTTAAAAAAAAAGGCTATTGATTAGGTTGTAAAGAATATTAGTTAAACAAGAATATTAGTTGAAGAAATACAATACTGGAGTCATAGATTATCAGCTTCAAAGCTAGCTCAGACGCAGCATCACTATTGCCCAGTCTCAAGAACAGATGATGGTGTTCAATATTTCATGTACTTAAGATTTTCTGAACCCCTAACAGGTTTTTTTAATGCTTATAGTCAGTTTCTACATGTGTTCCACCAAAAAAAAAAACAGTACATCAGGCTCAGAGGTGGCTCTTAAACTTTCTCCCACTTACATACCAAAATTATTTAGTAACTAATTCAAGAAAGGCAATAAGAAATGTTAAAGATAGAGTGGGAAAAGTCTTTTGATCTGAAAGATGAACCTACCAAGAAAACAACAGTTTAGCTATATCCCATTTTCTGTAGGGGATAAAATATCTTTAAAAAAAAAAAAAAGTGGAAAGAGACCATGTCTTCTTTCTTAGTGGTTTAGGTCTTGAAATATCAACTCAATAACAAATGCTAACTCAAGATCATTTTGCATTTTTCCTCTCCCCTGCAAAAAAGTATAGGGAAAAAAATAAGTGTCCATTTGTGTGTATAATTTCAATTGTGTATAAAATTTCATATTTATGGTCCTGGAGGAAGCATCATTTCAAAATATCACTGCAACTGATTCAAGAACTTAATTTTGTGAGTGAATTCTTCAGATCATGTAGCATTAAAAATGATTTAACACTGGTCCCTTAAAAAAAAAGTATCATAATTTATAGATATGGGATGTTTTCAAACATACCAAAATATTATGAAAATATGTACCAAAACTCATGTTAATAATAAAGAAGTAACAAAGTAAACACTACGGGTCCAAGGCAGAAATGTGAGCGGAAAATAAATTGGACACTCCCAGCCTTCCCACTACTATCCTCTTTCTCTTTCTCCCTCTGTAACTTACCATTTGGTGCAATACTCCTTCAGGTACATAAGGTCCTTGTGCTTCCCCTTTTAAAACATGCTCTCAGAAAAAAAAAAAAAATATGAAGTTCATGTGCACTGAGGTAAACATAACTAATAACCTCAAGTATTATTCTTACTCAGTATTTGCATCTTAAACTTAAAAAAAAAAGAGTGGAATTTTTGTATCAGCTAGCACATAGGAGTGATTTCATCAGTGTTTTTGAAATCTCAGGTTGAATACAGTCAATTCAGCCTATCAATACGGTCAGCACTGAGGACATGCAAATATACATACAGTATAGTATATATAAAACTACCAGTGAGATTTCACCGGTAAGATTTTACTTTTATGTTCCAATTCTTTTCAGCAGTGACATTTCGAACAATAAAACTACCTCCCAACTGGAAATCATATTATCTCTTACCAATAAGATTATGCAATGTTTTATGAGCAAAAATCTCTCAAGGAAAGAAAATAAAGTATGAGGCAAGACAAACACTTTAAAGCCAAAAAACTCTGATATAAATTGGGAAGGGGCTGTACCAAAATCGAGGTTTAGAAAGCTGGCTTTGTTAAAACACACATAAAGACTTGGTAGGAAAAAGCCGCTTCTTTCTCCCTTTTCCTTCCTGAATGTGGATAAAGGCCCAGCCCCCTTAATCACAAGACAATAAGCATGAACACAAAGGTCTACATGGCAGACTGCATGAAGGGTGAAAGGAGTCACCTTATTTCACGTGGACTTTTTGCATAAGGTTCCTGAAAGACGTCAGATTCAGCTGCTACTGGGGGGGTTTCTGTTACTGCGGCTGAATATCCTTACAGTGGATACAAAGACATAATTCTCACTTAAAAAATTAACAGCCATGAAGAAAATCCTCAAATCTCTCATATATCCTAAAACGAACCTCAACGATAAGCTTAACATTTTTCCTTTCCTCAACTGAGGAAGATAAATATTACATAATATAAAAATAGGGGTGACAGTGGTGAAACTCCAGATTCCAAAATTAAAAAAAGTGAGACAAGTCTAGGAGAGAAGAAGGGCACAAATGTAATACCAGACAATTATGCTCTAATAGGGGCTTTGACTAATATTCCCAATAAGTCAATTTCAACTCTCAGTGAGAAAAATAAAGTTTATTTCTTGTACAGAAATAACTCCAATTCAGTTTTTAAGTCTGAACCTTCAAACCTGGGAAGCTTTTTTCCAAGTCATCAGCAAGGGCCTTATCAACTTCATGTAGGATTTTAATAAAATCTTCCACCTGTGAATCAAACAAAAAAAATCAAACACAACAGAGAAAAAGGTGGTTTAAAGTACTGATTACTCTACCTGTGGTTTCTAAATGGTCCAATGGAAAAGAAATGCTGGCAGATCTTCAGATGACAGTAAAAGTACTTCCTAAGCAGTCTTCTAAAATGTTCTCCAGGAAATGACTATGCTTCCATTCTGTTTTACTTTTGACCTAGTACTTCTCCCCCTGCCTATTCTTTACGGTCTGTTCCCACATTCTGTCCTTTGTTTTCCTAGAAAATTTCCTATTTTGAAATCTGCTTCTAATGGTAGGAAATGTGATATAATTTGAAGAACCATATAAACCTACTGACTATTCCTAAGAATCTCACTTTGGCTTAATATATATGCTATCTATATCCTTTCATAACAGAAAGGAGTATTATAAATTTAGAGCTGATTTTTTCCTCTTAAAATTGTTACTCTCAATAGTATTATGAATTTTCCAGTAGTCATCTTTTTAACTTTTATTTTAGGCTCAGAAGAGTCTAAATGTCTAAATTGTGCGTTTGTTACAAAGGTTTGTTACAAAGGTATATTACATGATGCTGAGGTTTGAGGCACAGATGAACCTGTCACCCAGGCAGTAAGCCTAATACCCAATAGGTAGTTTTTCAGCCCTTGCCCACCCTGCCTCCCTCCCTCCCCTCCTCCTGCAGTCCCTAGTGCCTTCTGTTTCCATTTTTATGCCCATGGTATCCAATGGTTTAGCTCCCACTTCTAAGTGAGAACATACGGTATTTGGTTTTCTGTTTCTACCAGTCATCTATCTGACAAAGGCATTAAGTCATATAAATTGTATATACTATTTTGTTTTGACAATGACCTTGAAATCAAGTGCTTACTTGAAAACATTTAATAATACTATGAAACTTAGCCACCTATACATGTACCCATACTTACCACAGGGCTATAGAAAGGAAGAAGGTTTTGAAATGCAGAGGAACACTTCTGTTTGCTCAGCTGGCCCTCCTTTACTCCCTGAGCCACGGTCTCCTAAAACAGCACAAGATTCAATGTCAAAAAACGACAATTTCTCAAGCTTTAGTGAATAAAAACAAATCAGTATATACAATTCCCTACTGACCCCATAGGCATTTCAAATGTCCCAACTGAACCCACTGACATCAAGGAGACTTATGCAACCCAAACATCTTCTCCAATGTAGTCTTTACTCTAGTGAAGGGCACATCTACCCACCCTGCTACACAGACCAAAAACCTGGAACATAGTCAAGACTTTTCCTTCTCCCCTGCTGCTGACCCCTCCCCGCGAGTGTTCAACTCTGTTCTACCAGATCTCTCTTACTGCATCCCTCCTCTCCGTTCAAACTTCAGTCGGTTAGGCTGTCATCATTTTTCAGATTATTCTTGAAGATTATCAACCACGCAAGCCTGTTGGTTGGTCTCCTGCTCTCCAGCCTCAACTCTCTCTACTCCTTCCTCGCTATTGCTTTTGGAGTAATCTTTCTAAACTGCTCATATCACTTGGTGCTTAAAAGAAAAAAATCTTTAGTATCTCCTCTGTTTCTTCAAGATTAAGTGCAAATCCCCTAAATATGGCATATAAGAATTTGCATAACATAGCCCTAGTGTATTCTTAGTCCACCTTCCTTTGATGTTCCTACCACTTAAAAGTTAAGAAATATCAATGTCCCTTGCTCCAAAAAACAAAAGCAACAGCAAAAAAAAAAAAGCAAAAAAAAAAAAAAAAAAAAAAAAACACAAGCAATGAATATATGGAAAAGATGCATTTTTACCCAATACATTTATACAAATAATCAAACTGGATAAATTATAAAAAAGTAGGAAACACAATCAATATATGACATCCAAATATTTCAATCTCATTAATTTAAAATGCAAATCAAAATAAGCCACAATTTATCACCTGTTGAACTTCACTTGACATAAAAATTATAATACCCAATAATAAGGGTCAAATAAAAGCAACATTTTCACATGTAAATAGCATTTTGACAAAATATGGGCATTATGCCCTAGCCATCTTCACATCTATAATGTTGAATCCAGTATTCTGTAAAACCTGCTAAGGTAACAACTCCAAATCTGGAGAATACAAATATGGAAAAGAGAAGCAAGACAACTAATAATAATAATTTTTTAAAAAAATTTGGCCAGGGAAGGTGGCTCACGCCAGTAATCCCAGCACTCTGCGAGGCCGAGGCAGGTGGATCACGAGGTCAAGAAATACAGACCATCCTGGCCAACATGGTGAAACCCCCATCTCTACTAAAAATACAAAATTTAGCTGCGTGTGGTGGCACACACCTGTAGTCCCAGATACTCAGGAGGCTGAGGCAGGAGAATCATTTGAACCCAGGAGGCGGAGGTGGCTGTGAGCCGAGATCACGCCATTGCGCTCTAGTCTAGTGAGAGTTAGACTCCGCCTCAAAAAAAAAAAAAAATCACGAGATTAAGAGAAACTTTTTGTTTTGTTTTGTTTTTTGAGACAGAGTCTCACTCTGTCACTCAGGTTGGAGTGTAATGGCACAATCTTGGCTCACTGCAGCCTTGACCTCCTGGGCTCAAGCAATCTTTCCATCTCTGCCTCCCAAGTAGCTGGGATCGTAGGCGTGTGCCACCATGCCTGGTATTTTTTGTAGAGATGAGGTTTTGCTCTGTTGCCCAAACTGGTCTCAAACTCCTGGGCTCAAGTGATCCGCCTGTCTCAGCCTCCCAAGAACTGCGATTATGGGCACCTGGCCAAGAGAAAGTTCTTGTTAAGGAATACTCTTTTAAAAATTCGGTGGGTATGAGTAAATATACTCTTCATAGTTATATTTATAACATTTTATATTCATAATACATAATACAATATATTCATAACATATTCACAATCTATTTCTTTCCAAATATATGGATAAAAAGAATATGGTCAAAGGAAGAATGTTAATCACTGAACATATTCAGGGAGAATATTCCTTAGGAGAAGTTTGCAGTAAATTTTGAAAACTGATTATTTGGTAAATTAGGTTTAAATTGGCTCTCAGTAAAAAGTCTTTCAACTAGAATCAAGAAAAATACTTATAATACAGTGTTAGGGAAATGAGCAGTCTGCATATGCTGGGTGAAAGTATATGAAAATGCATTTATAAATATATATGCATGTAAACATATGTTTGTCATACATAAATATACCAAACTACATCAACTAGTGGTTTTTAAGATTATAAACTCATGGTGATATTAAGATTTTACTTTCTTTATCTTCCCAAATTCGATATCACTTTTATATTAACAAAATAATAGCAGTAATAATAAAGTTTGGAGCATTAAGTTGTACACATGACATCATCATCAGTACTTATGACATCATTATAGTACTTCTTTCCTACCTTTGTTAATGCCTGAAAAATATTAGAAAGAAATTCACATAAAATATCCTTTAAGATTTTCAAGTGGAAATCATCTTGGGTTAAATCAGTCTTTTTAGTTTCGTCTGTGTTAGACTCTGCCGAGTTCTCTGGTTTCTTCTGACACTGTTCCATATTTTGTAAGACCCGAATGAGGCTGTCAATTAGAGGAAGATCTACTGTATAAACAAATCAAGAAGCATTGAATTGGCCAGTAAGTTTGGTTTTTCATTCATATGTATTGAATTAGTGCTAGACATCATTATCTAGACATCATTATTTTAGGTATTATAGATACAGTGGTAATATGACCAAGATGTCAGCCTATAAGTGGCTTATATTTTTATACTTTCAAATAAGTAAATAAAATAGACCATTTCAGATTTTGGTAAGTTCTATGAAGGAAATAAAAGAGGAATACAATATAATGGCCTAGCAGAGAAAGCTCTCTGAAAAGGTGACACTGAGTTGAAAACTAAAGCAATGAAACATCAGCAATTAAAAGAGCCCCGGAAGTCAGGCCTGGTAGCTCATGACAGTAATCCCCGCACTTTGGGAGGCCAAGATGGGCAGGTAGCTTGAGCCCAGGAGTTTGAGATCAGCCTGAGCAATTTGGAGAAAACCTATTTTACCAAATACAAAAAATTAGCTCACAAGATTTTTCTACCACCTCCACTGTTCCATCTTAGTCCAAGTTATAACATTTCTTGCTATGAGTCAATTATCCAAGCTCTAAAAGCCTCCCAACTCGTCTCCCTTTTGTATCCATGACCCCCTACATCTCTCATCAAAACAGCAGCCTATTAAAGTCAGCTCATGTGTAAGCAACATCTGCTTAAAACCCACCATGGTTCCCTACCTCATTCAGAGGAAAAGGCAAAATCGGAACCTCCATACTCTACCTCTCTAGCGCCATGTGCTACTTTGCTAAATCCACCTCAGCTATATGGGATCTCACTGTTCCTCCTCAAAGACACCAGGCATACTTCTGGTTTACGGCTTTTATGCCTTCTATTCCTTCTGTCTGGAAAGTTCTTCTCCCCAAGTATGCATATGACTCCCTCCATTCTCTCCCTAAGATCTGTACTCAATGCCACCTTCTCAATGATGTAACATATCAATAAATGAAGATCTTAAAAATACTCAACATTTTTTAAATTAAAAACTCAATAAAATAGAAACAGATTAATACTTCCTTAAATGGTAAGACATATATCTTTTTGTTGAGGGGACGAAGTCTTGCTCTGTTGCCCAGGCTGGAGTACAGTGGTGAGATCTTGGCTCACTGCAGCCTCTGCCTCCCAGATTCAAGTGATTCTCCTGCCTCAGCCTCCCGAATAGCTAAGGTTACAGGCGTGTGCCACCACGCCTGGCTGATTTTTGTATTTTTGAGCAGAGACAGGGTTTCACTATGTTGGCCAGGCTGATGTTGAACTCCTCACCTCAGGTAATTTACCCACCTCGGCCTCCCAAATTACTGGGATTATAGGTGTGAGCCACTGCATCTGGCTGTAAAACATTTATCTTATACCCAATAATGCTTAACAGTAGAACTCTAGGATTATTCCTAATAAAATCAGGAACAAGGGAAGGATGTTTTCCATCATCACTATTATTTAACACCAGAGATACTAGGCAACCCAGAAAGAAAAAGAAACCACAGATAAAGAATTGATAAGATATATCTAATTTAAGCCAAAGCACTATCAGATAAAGCCCAAAGATTATTATTGGAATGACTATTAAAAATAGTAAGAATTTGGTAAGGTTACAGGAGGCAAAGTTAATATACAGGAATCAATAGCCTTCATATATTCCAACAATAATCAGTAGAAGAAAACATGTCATAGACAATAGTAAACCCAAAGGATAAAATATCTAGGAATGAAATTAATAAGAAATATACAAGATCTATATGAAGAAACCATTACTGAGGGACAAAATAAGACCTGAACAAATGAAAAGACATAACATATTCTTATAAAATTAACACAATATCAACAAAAATATCAGTTTTTGTTTTTGGAGCTTAAAGTTAGTGGTAAGAATAGTTAAAAACATTCTGAAAACTTAGAATGAAGAGGGATTCACTCTATTAGGTATTAAAACATAAAACCTTAATATTTAAAAACAGTATGGCTACTACTATGTAAATAGAGCAATGGAAATAAATAGAATATATAGGGGAATTTAAAAAATAATTATGATGAAATTTCAAATCAGTGTAGGTAAGCTGGATTATTCACTAAATTATGGTGAGATAATGGGGTAGCCCTCTGGAAAAAAAACGGATACCACTAGTACCAAAGTTAACGAAGGGGGGAAAAATTAAAGCCACACTTCACATGTGACACCAGAATAAATTCTAAATGAATCATGAATTTAATTGTAGTCATAAAAATCATTCTGTGAAAGAATATGTATTTACATAGGAAAATATTCATTTTTATTTTCTAAATGAAATGTTGGCTAAAAAGCAGAATTTAAAAAATACATATGCATGCATTGGATGGTAGATTTACAAGCATCATGTTTCCTTGATGTTTTTTATAAACTGTATACATTTTTAGGCAGGGTGCAGTGGCTCATGCCTATAATACCGTCTCTATAAAAAAAAATTTTTAATTAGCCAGGTGAAGTGTCATGTGCCTTTAGTTCCAGCTACTCAAGAGGCTGAGGTAAGGCAATCGCCTTAGCCCAGGAATTCAAGCTTGCAGTGAGCTATGATCCTGCCACTGCACTACAGTGTCGGCAACAAAGTAAGACTCTGTTTTAAAAATAAGTAAATACCCAGGCGAGGTGGCTCATGCCTGTAATCCCAGCACTTTGGAAGGCCGAGGTGGGTGGATCACTTGAGGTTAGGAGTTAGAGCCCAGCCTGGCCAACATGGTGAAACCTGTCTCTACTGAAAAAATACAAAAATTAGCCAGGCATGATGGTGTGTGCACCTGTAATCCCAACTACTCAGGAGGCTGAAGCACGAGAATCACTTGAACCCAGGAAGCAGAGGTTACAGTGAGCCGAGATCACATCACTGCACTCCAGCCTAGGCAACAGAGCAAGACCTATCTCCAAAAAATAAAAATAAATAAATAATAAAATAAGTAAATAAATATAATAAAATAAATTTTTTAAGTTTAGCATGTAACATTTCTATAATTAGGGGAATGAAAGCATTTTTAAAAGGGAGAAACAAAAAGAAAAAAAGGGAAAAATAAATGAAATGAAAAACAAAATGAGCCTAAAAAATTGTACTTGCCTTTTTCTATCTTTAGATATTCTTGCTCAGTCTGTGAGGCATAGATGGCGCACAACACTGAAAAAACAGAGGCTAGCACCGTTTTCTGTTCTTGAAGAATGATGGGTGGATCATCAGACTGGCAGAACTCATGGCAGACCAGGTCGAAAAGTAAATTCCAAATATCTTTTCCAGTATCAGGACAATATACTTAATAAAGATAATAAAGAAAGTAGTAATTTAAAATCAGCAAAGAATTAAATGAGTAACTGTAGCGCATCCGGATAAACCGTCTTACCAATTGCTTGAATTCCATCATCCACTGTAGTAAGCAATTGTAAAATATGCATGTAAACATCAAGCCATTCTGGATTTTCAGAACTAAAAAGAAAAGTAAAAGCCACAACTTTACTGTCCAGGGGATTCCAATCATTCATCCATTCAATGAATACTTATTACTCTGTGCCAGCCACTGCTCTAAGTGCTGAGGATAAAACAAGGAAAGGAATGAAGTCTCTATGCTCATTAGAGCTTTTATATTCTAATAGAGGAAACAGCAAAAAAAAAAAAAAAAAATCACAAATATTATATAATGTAATCAACACACACAGGCAAGAAGTAAAAAAATCATTTGCCTCTATCTCATAAAAGTAACAATGCAGAAACCTGCTAGTTGATACTTTATCATTTTGGTTTGCTTGAATATCAGAACAAAAATGACTGAGATTTTTAGAGTATGAGAGTAAGGTCCACTGCACCATGCATCAACAATGATGTTCTGAAAACATCTCAGGATTATCCTAGCTCTCTAGCTGAGAACACTAAAACCACATAAGTCTAATTCTTATGATCAACAGTTTGCATTCTTAAAAATCTAAACAGTTTAGAAACTCAAAATTGTAGTTCTTCAACCAAACAAGTGAAAAGACAGTCAACAATTAAAACAATGGTTTGGCAAATGTTTATTTAAGTACTTACTACTTTCAGGGACTATGTTAGGAACTAAGAAAACAGATGTATAAGATGTTATCCCTATCTTCATAAAGTTTATACTCAAAAGGAAAGAAGATTCCTAGTGGGGTAATTATAATAAAGTGGTATGCATGCAGCACTATAGGACTAGGAACTTCGCAGAGCAAGGAGACTTCATTTGCAAGGTCAGGGAAGGTATCTTATGAAAAATGATGTTTACACAGAAACATAAAGGCACAAAGAAGTGTTTGAGGTGGAGGAAACATGCTGTGCCAGGGTCTGGCGACAAGAGAGCCTGGTTCAACTGAAGAAGTAAAGCAAGCTTCACATGACTGAAATGCAGAGTACAAGGAATAAGGATAGAGAGGCATTCTACTGGGCCTATAAGCTGTACTTTATTATTTTGAGAATTTTTCATTTATTTCATTATTTTTTCGCCTATTTATTTAAATTTTGGATTCAGAAGATACACGTTGGGGGTTGCTACATGCATAATGCCGAGGTTTGGGAATACAAATGGTCCCCTTCACCCAGGTGATGTACATAGTATTCCAGCTGTGCTTTTTTGGTTTTTTCTGGACCTTATCCTAAGGAAGGCAACTGAAAAGACTGAAGCATGAGAGTGAGATGAGTGTGTACTTTACACAAACAGCTTTTAAGTCTAGGCTTGGGAAGAAGCAAACATAGAGGCAGGGAATTCAAGTAAAAAAATGTGGCAGTTCTCCAGGTGAGAGACAATAATGGTTTGATTGGCATGGATGGAATCCCAGGAAAAGTCAGGAATAAGGGTTGGAAGCTGACTACAATGGGAAAATACTGGGGCATTCAGTAATGGCTTCTCCATTTCTTCTATGTTATCCAAATAGGATAATGATTGCACCATTTACTGATACTGAGGATACTGATGAAGCAGATTTAGGGAAAGATGATGAATTTAATCCTCACTTGGAAAAAGGACACAAAATTAATAGGTTTTGATGTGGCTTACTCAGCACTAATAATGCACTAAGCAAACTACTAAGCAGATCAATTTCAAAATTAATTTTCCAGTGATTAGCAATAAATAGTTTTAATGACCTGTAAGACCTAGTAATCACTCTTGGCAAGACATTAGAGTCCCAAATTCACTTATTGAAGACTGGCATATAAACACAAGAAGATAAATAAATAAATAAATGACGTGCAACGTTAGAAGCTGTTAAATGTTCAATGTAAAATAACCACACGAAAATGTTTTCTCTTTGATTTAAATTACATAAAATTTCTGATGATGTTAAGACAGAAACCACATTTAATGTTGAATAACAGCCTATAGCTAAATGATAATATAACAGGAACTTTGTAACCATACCATTCTTGCAAAAAGCAAACATGCTGCATTACAAATATTAGTAGTGAATCAATGTAACAAAGAGTGACTGTATACTTCCTTCTGCTGCAAGGAATCTAACAAGACTTATATCTGAGAATACTTCTAGCAATTGCATTTTCCCAGAACACTTGCACGAAAGAGCTCACCTACCGTACTTGTTTGGCAGCCTCAAGTATACAGGGCACAAGCCTAAAAACTGGCTGCTCTTCAGACTCTTCCTGGGGTTGGTCTAGAGGCTGAGAAGCCCCATTTCTGACCCATTCCAACATCAGTTTCTCATCCAAATCAAAGAGCTTGTCCACAACCTCCCCCACCTTCACCAGCAAGTCAACTGCAGAGAATAAAACAGATATTGAAATGAGAAACAAACTGTTAAAAGCAATAGGGTTAAGCAAAATTCTAAAGCTATTCTAAGAAAGCCAAATCTAGCTCAAACAGTACCTATTCCAAGGGTGATTTACTTATCTCCTATGTTTAAATTTGCTTATATTTCCTTATTTTTAAATGAGGAATTTATCAGTGTCCCAGGAGTTTAAGAAATTTTATATCTTCTTCAATCAAAAAACTGTCTCCAAAAAACAAACACACAAAAAGCTGGGCATGGTGGCTTACACCTATAATCCCAACACTTTGGGAGGCTGAGGCTGGGTAACTGCTTGAACCCATGAGTTCGAGACTAGCCTGGGCAACAAAGCAATACCCTGTCTCTACACAAAATTCTAAAATGAACTAAGTGTGGTGGTGCATGACTATAGCCCCAGCTACTGAGGAGGCTGACAGAAAGATACCTTGAGCTCAGGAGTTAGAGGCTGCAGTGGGCTATGATCACACTACTGCACTCCAACCTGGGTGACAGGGCAAGATTCTGTTTCAAACAAACAAACAACTTTATTACCTTGCACTCAAGCCTTTTTTTTTAAAAAAAAAAAAAGTGACTTCTAGAAATAGTTACACGGTTTCCTAAAAATTAAGTAAAATTTAAAACAATTTTTTTTCTAGAGTACATGATGACTCACCATTTGTTGAACTTGACATAATGAAGCAAATGCTATCATAAATAGCTGGATGTTCCCGGATCCTTTCAACCCAGACACTGGCCACTTCTGCCTGGGAAAGGCAAGTAAGCAACAACCTATATGGTAAAAGTGGGTTGAATTTCTACTTTTCAAAAACAGTAAAGGAAATTAGAAAATAAAAAATTAACTTTCTTAGCTACTCTTATGAGTAACATTATAGAATTCATAAAAGGAAAAGCATACCTGCTTGTTTCCAGAAGAGTAGGTGGGTCTGAATCATACAAACAGTGCAACAACACCTGCCTACAAAAACACAGAAGTTAACTGATATGCCTCACTTCTCGTATTTAGAGTATCAGAGTTTTCATTTCATTTTTTGAACATCTTTATTGTGAAATACAGCATGTATACTGAAAAGCCCAAAATATACAAATCTATAAAGAATAATTCTAAAGCAAACACTCGTGTTTCCAAGAAACAGAACAGAGCTGCATCTCTGTAGTCACCATGTGTCCATTCCAAATCACAATTCTCTTTCCCAGCTAGAAATGATGACCATTCTGACTTTTCCAGCAATCATTTCCTTACTTTGCTCTATAGTTTTATTATTTTATATATTTTGGTGTTGCTTTATACCACAGGTAAAAGGATTAAGATGCCATGCTGAATAGACATAATCTGGGAGGTTATTTGGATTCATGAAGATGCTCAAGGAAGGGAGACAGCATATTAAAGAAATATTATACTTATTCTTTTGAGTCTTCATTTATTTGCTGAAAACTATGTATGTAAGATCCACCCATGTTGTTCCTGTAGCTGTTGTTCTTTGATACACTGCTGCAGAGCATTCCCATTGTGTGAAGATAACACAGTTTATTTTTCCAGACTATTGTTGATGGACATTTGTGTTGATTCCAATTTTGGGCTATTTCAAGCAATTCTCTATAATATTTGTATGAGTTATTCTGATGCACACGTGCACAGTTTCTCTTACCATATATGCCCACTATGAGCTGGTCACAGCACATGCATATGTTCCAGTGTGACCAGATAATGCCCAACTATTCTAAAGTGGTTCAACAAATTTATATCCCATCAGCATTTAATTGAATTTATAACATTTGTTAACATTTCTCACTTGCAGATTTTGATAGAGAACACTAGAGACTGAACATAATCCTAAGTCATTTGTTCCATGAATGACTGTAAATTACTGAGGAATAAATACCCCGAACTAGGATCTTAAAGTGCCTCCACAACTAGGAGTTATCTCTTTTTGAGAAACCCAGGTACTTGAATCCTGTAATAAAACCCTTATGGCACCAGCTCTGACAAAAACTGCCTAGAACAGTTTTCTTAACCTATTTTGGGCACAAATTTCTTTGAGATTTTGATTAATAGCCATGAACCCTTTGCCTAGAAAACTAATATACCCACAAAATTTAGCACATTATTTCAGGGCATTCCCAGAACACAGTAACCACTTGGGTTTCCTCCATTAAAAAACCTTCTGCTCAGGACTTTACACATGAAGAAGAGAACTAGCCTCAAAGCAGAAATATGACTCTTTTAATCACAGGAGCACCCCTTTATCTTCTAGTTTGTTGGCAAGTCTTACCCTCTAAGTCAGAGATCTCAGGATGACATTATTCAACAAATCTAGTTTCTGTAGACTCCAGCTGAGTCATTGGGTTCCTTGCACCTAAACTGTTTTAGATTCCAGTTGGCTGCCCCATCTCCAAGTTTTGTCCCACTGGTTTTTCCCCTATCTGGCTTACTGGCAACAGCTGACAATTCAGGTTCCCTTGCTACTGAAGAAAACAGGCTTAAATCCTGAATCATTTCAGTACCTCCTGAAGAAGCCCCTAGCTATCATCAACACACAAGAAGTTCCTAGAGAGTGTGCATCAGGACAGAGGAAGGACTGTTTTCGGATTTGCTACTTTTCCTATGTATAGAATTTCCTTAAGGATATAAATGAATATATTAAAAATGTCATTATATAGTAAGACTTACCCAAGATTTTCATCACTGCTGATGGACACGCATATCTCTTGGAAACAGGCCATATTACCTAAAATTCCCACACAGATTTCCTGCCAAATCAAATTTTACAAGTCACAATGGCTCTAAGGTGAAAGACACATAAACAGAATTATCAACCTGAAAAAAAAAAAAACTTTCACTGAGCCAAGTTTTGGGGCAAGGTGGAGGGGAAGCAGGATAAAGAAATACATATACTACCTATACCCTAATCTGGACAAACTTACCGTATCTAAGAAGGGATGAAAGACATAGAAAAAGAAAGGGCAAAGGCAGGAGCTATGGAAGAAGAATTCTTAACAATAAAATGAGTTTAAAATGATTGATAGGATTGAGATATGCAAACAAAAAGATGTTCAAATAAGGGGAAAGTATCAACAAAGGCAGGAAGGGAATCATGTACATGGCTAATACAGTAGACAATAAAGAAAGTACTCTGGTTGTGGCACAAAGTGGGTGAACAGCATAAGGTAAATATCGCAGGTATAAAGGACTGAGATTAAGGGCTGGGAATGCCATGCTGAAGAGTTAGACTTATTCTGGGAAGTTATTTGGAATCATGAAGATGTTCAAGGAGAAGAGATAACATACTGAAACAGTATCTTAGATTATTCTGGCAGCAAAATGCATAATATATTAATATAGTCCCTCTTTAGCCACGGTTTCAGTTACCCATGGTCAACCTTGGTACAAAAGTACTAAATGGAAAATTCCAGAAACACATAATTTATATGTTTTAAATTGCATGCCTTTTCTGAGTAGCAGGAAGAAATCTTGCACCGTCTCACCCGGAATGTAAATCATTCCTTTGTTCAACATATCCACACTGTATATGCTGCCTGCCCGTTAGTTACTTAGTAGCCATCCTGGCTATCAGACCAACTGTCATGGGATCACAGGGCTTGTGTTCAAGTCACCCTTATATTACTTAATAATGCACAAGAGTAGTGATGCTGGCAATTTGGATACGCCAAGGAGCAGTCGCTAAGTGCTTTCTTTACATGAAAAGGTAAAAGTTCTTGACTTCATAAGAAAACAAAACAAAAAAATATATGCTGAGGTTGCTTAGGATCTATAGTAAGAACAAATCTATCCATGAAATTGTAAAGAAGGAAAAAGAAATCTGTGCATATTCTAAATAGGGTTTAATACTATCCCTGGTTTTAGGCACTGGGGGCCTTGGAATGTATCCCCCAAGGATAAGGGGAGACTAGTGCCTAGGGAAAAGAAGTTTAAAAGAACTTAAGAATCTATCTCAGTAACAGTTAATTAATAAGTAATAACAGTTTATTACCACTCATTATGGCCAGGTACTACTCTAGGCATTTTCCGTGTATCATTTCGTATAATAATTTAGGAGATACGTACTAATAGTATCCCCATTTTTTTTTTGGATGAAGAAACTAAGGCACAGAGAAGTTAAGCAACTTGCCTAAGATCTTAAGATCTCCAACTAGAACATGGCAGAGCTCCAGGGCTTGAGCATTTAACACTATTCCTAACTGAACCTCAGTAATCAAGATGCAAGAGGAGGAGGGCTCTCAGGCATGGAAAAGAATGAAGCTGACGAAGACTCTCAAGGTGAAAGCAAAATAATCCAATGTGACGATAAGGAAGAAAGCAGTTGAACTTGACTCCTAGGTTTCAAGTTGCCTCATTTCCCCAGTCAGTGATATTGGTCCCACTGACAGGAAAATTGAAAAAGAAAGTGCATGAAAAGCTATAATGAGTTCAGATAGTACAGTGTTTCCAAGCTTGCTGAAACATAAGAATCACTCAGGGAGCTCATTAAAAATACAGATTTCCAAGTCTCATCTCAGATCTACTGAATCATAATTTCTAGGATAGAACCTGGAAAACTATTGTTCACCCGGCATATACCAGGTGATTTTTATGATCAGTTAAGTGTGATCATAAATCACTGAGAACATATAGAATCCGGGGTTTGAGAGTAGAGCTGACCCTTGAACAACACAGGTTTGAATGTGTGGGTCCACTTATAGGTGGATTTTTTCCAACCAAACTTGGATTGAAAATACAGCGTCCTCAAGATGCAAAACCTGCATAATAATGCAGAGCTGGCTTTTCATACACACAAGTTCCACAGAGCTGGCTGCAGAATTATGTGTGGATTTTAGTATGGGGGAATGTCTTACAACCATCCCGCATATTTACCAAGGGACAACTGTACAGCATGCAAGCAGAGAATGCCTGAAGAAAGTTGGAGATGTGACATCAGTTACCAGAAGGGAAGTCAAGGTTTTGCTCCCACAGGCAGAGTTGCAACTTAAAGGTGTAAAGAACACATAAGTTCACTAGGAAAATGAATATAATGAGAACAAAGAATCAGGTTCTACACCTTAGAAAGCGTCCATATTCAGGACAGGATAATAAAGGAAAAAAGAAAAAAGCCAATGAAAGGTGAGAGACAAGAGACTGAAGAGGTCAGAGACCAGAGAGTGAGGTGGCACAGGAGCTACAGAAATGGAGTTTCAATATAATGTGAGTGGTCAAATGTTGGGAAATGATTAAGAGTGAGTAGGGGCAGAAAAAAAAACACATACATTTCCCTTATAAACTAAAGAGGGACTAACTGAACTTCCAATCAAAGATAAAGTTTTTCAGTCTTGGCTGTTCACTGCAATCACCTTGAGAACTTTAAAAGCTGCCTGGAGTCTCACACTTGGAGATTCTGCTTTAATTCATCTGGGGTACGGCCTGACTCAAGATTTTTAAAAGTTCCCTAGGGCAAAGCTTCTCAGAGTGTGGCAATGCTCCAGAGCACCAGCATCACCAGGGAACATATTAGGAATCCTGGACCTACTGGACTAGAAACTCGGGAGGTGGAATTGACAATTAGTGATGAGGGGACATAATGAAGTTTGATAGCCCACGTGCCAGGTGATTCTAACATGCAGCCAAGGCTGAGAATCACTGCGGCAGCAGACTATGGTCAACAGATACACATACAATAGTATGACTAATTCCTAAAAGGTGCCATTCCTGACATAAGCTTATTCCTTCATATACTGATAGTGAGTAAATATATTTAAGACAGAAAAACTCTGCACAGAAATAGCATAATTGTCAAATCTTACATTAATACAAGGACTCAAGGAAAAAGTGGTTAATCAGGCCCTAATTCAGACAGAACATTCTACTTAAATAAGAATTTTAATTCAATCTTCAATTGGCAAAAATATACTATGGAATTCTCCATTTTATAATCTCAAAGAAAGAGAGGAAATACAGTACAGTGGTTATATTGGAGTCAGGCCTAGGCTGAAATCCAAGCTCCATGTTTTCCTAGTTGTGTGACTGTGAACACACATCTTCACCCGAGATCTAGTTCTTTAAAAGTTTACCTCACAGTAGTAAGACCAGGTATTCAGTAAACAGCAGGTTTTCATAATAATAATTATTGAACAGATATTTACTAATCATCCATTATATGCATAGCACATGGCAACTCAATTGGCAATAAAGCACAGTACACTGTACAGTACATAAACACCTCTCCTTTAGTCTTTATCTACTGTTTTTGGCAGTTTACTAACAGCAATGACCATTGAAAGCTTACTTACTGGGGAAGGTGTGGGAGGAACAGTACCACCTTGAATAACAGATGCAAATACTGAGAGGGGACAGAAGGCACACAAAAGGAAGCACGGAGACAGCATGAGACAGGGAGTAGAACGATCTGGCTAAATCAGAAGGGCTATCTGGCTATCCAGATTTTATGCTGGAAAGATGAGTTAGGTTGAGAGTAGAAGTCTTGAGCAGCAGGCTGAGTTTAAAATGGTTTTCAAGCAATGGTGGATTTTGTGAGCAAAAAAGAGCAATCAACTGAGAAATGGGAGGCCCGAGCCCTGTTCTCCATTCTGATACATACTAGCAGCATAACAGTGGTTATGCCTAACTCGTCTCCAAAGCTATTAAAGCGTTAATCTTCCTGATCTAGCCTGAATCTAAACTTCCATGATTCTAATAATTTTAAATTATTGTTATTAATAATTTAATATTTTAAATTATTACAGACATGTGGCTCACATGCCTATAATCCCAGCACTTTGGGAGGCCCAGGTGGGAGGATCACTTGAGGCCAGGAGTTCAAGACCAGCCTGGGCAACATAAGGAGACCCTTGTCTCTACAAAATAAAAATAGTAATTAGCTGGGTGTGGTGGCTTATACCTATAGTCCCAGCAACTTGGGAGGCTGAGGTGGGAGAGTTCCTTGAGCCCAGGAGGTCAAGACTGCAGTGAGCTGTGATCATGCCACTGCACTCCAAGCCTTGAAAACACTGTGAGACCCTGTCTCAAAAATTAAAAGAAAAAGTTTTAATAGCAAATTACCTAGGACCTGGCAATGTCCGACAAACATCTGAAGGTTGATTTGTTGATTTATGGTAAGAAAATCAAAGTGAGAAAAATAAATGACTATCCAGCACTATCTGCTCTTATTGCTTCAAAGAAGGCTTTAGAAATGTACATACTTACTCTTAATCGAGGACACTTGGACTTGGCCAGTACTCCCATGAATATATCAGGAGCGTTAAATTCTTGGAGAAATAAAGCCACATCCTGAAAAGAAAAATTATTATTAACTTGGATGTTGAATATTCCTCCCTAAACCCCATAGCTTAGGCAACCATAAAATTCTATATTAAAATTAGAATTTTAGATGCAAGAAAAGCCAAACCACAGGGTTAGGAATTGTGTCAACAGACAAAAGTGATGTTACGGTCTTTACGGTAACTGGTCCCAGACAATGGAACAATTCCATAAACAAATCTAAACTACCTACGACACTCCAGAGGATTATCCTACTCTTTTCTGCCCTGAATCTATTTACCTTAATAATTTTCCTACCCACTAGGAATTCTCATTAAACACATTCAAACACATTTGCTGATTACATATCAGCTATTATGCTAGAAGTGAGGGATAAAGAAAAGAGTAAAACTCCTGGGCGCAGTGGCTCACATCTGTAATACTAACACTCTGGGAGGCTGGTTGGGAGACTGGTTAGAAGGCCGAGGTGGGCGGATCACTTTAGTCCAGGAGTTCAAGACCAGCTTGGGCAAACATGGTAAAACTCCATCTCCACAAAAATACAAAAATTAGCGGGTGTGGCAGCACATGCCTGCAGTCCCAGGTACTTGGGAGGCTGAGGTAGGAGGATCACTTTGGGCCTGGGGAGGTCAAGGCTGCAGTGAGACATGACCATGCCACTGTACTCCAGCTTGGGCGACACTGCGAGAAAAAAAGGAAGAGAAAAAAAAAAAGAGTATAACTTGGCTGGGCGAGATGGCTCACAACTGTAATCCCAACACTTTGGGAGGCCAAGGCAGGTGGATCGCTTGAGCCCAGGAGTTCGAGACCAGCCTGGGAAAACATGGTGAAACACCATCTCTACAAAAAATACAAAAATTACCTGGGCATGGTGTTGTACGTCTACAGTCCCAGCTACTCAGAAGGCTGAGGTGGGAGGATTGCTTGAGCACGTGAGGCAGAGTTTGCAGTGAGCTGAGATCTCGCCACTACACTCCAGCCTGGACAACAGAGTGAGATTTTGTCTCAAATAAAAACAAAATTCCTTCTTGTCCTCCAAGAGCTTAAAACACGGTAGGGGAAAGAAGCTAAGAACTGCTATTGGGTCCTGTCCAAAACCAACACTTGTGTTTTCAAAATTATCAATAGAATATAAATTCTGGTCACAATGTAACTGCAGTAGCCTCATAACTTCTTCCTAGAGAGTCTGCCAGTGTCTAAAGGGGCAGAACATACATAGCCATAGAGAAGCACAACATTTGAGTGAACATGTGATTCCAAATGGGCCAAATCTCACCTAGAAATGTAAGACAAAAGGTAAATCAGTTTTCTTGGGGACTTGCACTGTAAAATATATAAATAAAATTAAGTTTCTGGTTATCCACTGCCTCAGATTTTCACTAAATTTGAGGTATATATTTGAGAAGCCTTAACTTAAAATATAAGCTGGATGGCTTATGTGAAAACTCACCCAGAAGGACCCCAGAGCATCTCAAAGAAAGAGGCAATTATCCTCCACAGCAAATGTAACCAGTAACCGGCCAGACAACTGATTGGGAGGGACACACTCTACTTACTAAAAGACCATAGTCAGGGAAAATACTATTTTCAAGGATAACACTCTAAACTGAAAGTCATTAACAGCAGATTTTCTTCACTGTAAGTGATCAAGCTGTCTGTCCTGTGAGCAATTCTGTCACATGCAGAAATGTTTAAATTTAATGATAATTCCTTAAGTAGCACAAGGATGGCCTAACAATATCAACACCAACAGTAATAACGGCAATTAACATTCATTGACAAGTATTAAATGCCAGGCACAGTGAAGTGGACTGCATGCTATTTCATTTAATTCTCAAAACAACTCTATCAACTAGTTATTATTAGCCCCATTACACTCATAAGCAAACTGAAGTTTTAAAAGGTTAAGCGAGATTATACAGTCTCAATAGAGCAAAGCTAGGATTTGAACCCACATGAGTCTGATTTGAGCCTATGGTCTCTTTTTTTTTTAAAGAAATGGGGGTCTTGTTATGCTGTCCAGACTGGAGCAGTGGCTATTCACAGATTCACAGGCATTATCATAGCTCACTGTAGCCTCCAACTACTGGGCTCAAGTGATCCTCCTGCCTCAGCCTCCCAAATAGCTGGGAATACAGGCAAGTACCCAGCAAGACTATGTTCTGAAACATCACAACATGCTACTTCTCAGATATTCATCTATTCATTCATTACTCACCAAATATTTTCTGAAAAACCTAATAGGCACTGTTTTAGGCTCTAGGGACACATCAGTGAACAAGCTAAATAAGGGATCAGTCCCATGGAATTTTCATTCTAGAGAAATGAACAAACAATAAATACATAAACAACTAAACTATACAATTTCTAAATGCTACAAAGAAAATAAGATGGTATGTGCTAGAAACCAAGATAAACGGGGCTACTTTAGACACGACATTAGAGAAGGTATTTCAGAAGAGGTGACATTATGCTTTGATGAGAAGGAATTTAAATCCATCAGAGGACACATGTAACTGAGTGAAGTGATTCTGTGGGAACACAAAATAAGAAAGGGTAATTCTGCCTGGAGTGTCTGGAGTGGCATCACAGAGGAGGTGACACTGAAGCCAGGCCATAAACAATGAGAAGGATTTTGCCAGCTGGAAGCCATTCCACACCAAGTGGCATGAACAGCACTCATAGACACGTGAAAGTATAGTTAGTATCTGGCAGTCTCTAATCCTCGCGCACTGAATTCATGGTTACAGAGCAATAGGAGACAAGGCTGAGATATAAACTCACTAGACTTTGTGCCAGGGACCTCAATGGTCAGCGGAGAGCTCAGTTCTGAGTGGTGCCTCAAGGGCACCTCTTATAAGGGAGCAGAAGAAGACCAAAAAGAACATGACTTTGCCCTCCACCAACAACCTCCTTCAAACAGCAGCGCTGTTTTCTCAATTTTAAAACTGTGATTTTCATTCTAAGAGTTCATTTAAAACACAGGTTTTATTTATTTAAAAAAAAATTTTGTTTAACCATAATTTATCAATAATTGTAGAACAAATAGAAGGTAGATCTGAACAATACTCTCAACCAACCTGATCTAACGGACATTGATAATAAGATACTCCACCCAGCAACAACAGAACACACATGCTTTCTAAGTGAACATGAAACATTTACCAAGATAGACCATATTCTGGGCTATAAAACAAGTCTCAACACATTTAAAAGGATTCAGTGTTCAGTGACCACAGCAACAGAAAGATAACTGAAAAATTCCCAAATATTTGAAACTTAAATTATCTACGAACCAAAGAAAAAGTAAAGGATATTAGAAAGTATTCTGAACTTTCACGGACATGGTAGCTTACACCTGTAATCCCTGTACTTTGGGAGGCCAAGGAGGGTGGATCACTTGAGAGCTGGAGTTCAAGACCAGCCTGGCGAACATGGTGAAACCCCATCTCTACAAAAAATGCAGAGCGAGACCAAATGTTGGAAAATAAATAACACAAATCTTAACCCATTGGTCAAGGTAGAAATAAGAAAGGAAATGGCAAAGTAAAAAAAAAAAAAAAAAAATGTAAACACAACATATCAGAATTTGTAGAATAATGGTAAAGCACAAATATTTAGGGAACATTTTTATAGTACTAGATGTCTATCTTTAAAAAGAATGATTTCAAAGTATAAAGTACGTGGACAACTGATTTTTGACAAAGACACAAAAGCAATTCGTGGAGAAAGGACAGTCTTTTCAACAAATGAGTTAGAACAATTGAATATCCACAGGCAAAAAAATAAAACTTCAATCCATCCTTGCACCATATACTATACAAAAATTAACTCAAAATGGATCACAGACTTACATGCAAAACCTGAAATTATAAAGCTTTTAGGAGAAAATATAAGAAAACAACACAGTTAAAAAGCAGGCAGATGATTCAAACAGGTACTTCACCAAAAAAGATACACAGAGTAAAAATAAATACATGAAAAGATACTCATCATTAGGAATTCAGGAAGTCCAAATTATAATCACAATGAGATATCACTACATACTTATTAGAATGGCTAAAGTTAAGAAGACTGACCATACTAAGTGTTGGTGAGGATAAGGAGAAGTTCGACCTGGAACC